ATTTAAAAATAAATATTACTATTTTGTAATCCTTATTTTTAAATATTATTATATAAAATTTTTTTAAATATTTTAATTTTTTTTTTTTTCTTGTTAAGATGACTTCTACATCAGCGATTTATTATTAGAATATTATATTGTTACAATTGTAATAAAAATTCATATAGCTACATATGCACTTTTGGTGCCTAATTTAAGTAGTCCACCCAAAGCAATTGAGCTATGCTAAAGGTTTTACACTATCTGCTATACCTGTAACCCAACTACAGGATTACCTATTTAAACTTTCTGATCACAATTTTTACAAATCTTTTACTCTAACCCAGGTGTAACCTTACAACTTGAAGAATAGTCGATTTATGCGATACTACTAGATTAACAGCTGTCTTAGAACTACTTTATCCACGAAGTAAACCTGACCTTGCATATCATGTCCCACACATGAAGGTGCTGGCTCATTTGGTAATTTCTTTTTAAATTAGTACATATTGTCTGCCACTATTGTGTTCATATCTCATACCACCTTTTGGGATGCAGCTATAACACAATCTGTATCTAAAGCCCAACCTTTCTAATTTAGTCCTCTATTATGTATTTCTTAGTGTTCAAAGATAACGGCTTGCTGTGGCTTAATGCAGCTTATCATGTAATAAATTCGAATTTATCATGTAATAAGCTGCATTAAGCCACAGCAAGCTGTGATAAGCCGGCTTATCTTTGAACACTACTTTACTAGATTTTTAAAAAATAAAAAATATAATAAATATATAATAAATATATTTTTAATATATTTATATTACCGGAGGAAAAGGTTATATACTCTGAAAGTATGGACCAAGAGAAGGGTGTCCTTCAGATACTTGAAGCCTGGGCAGACCAACTTGTCTGGGTTGCTAGCTGGAAATAAAAGAGAGACCAATAGAGAATCTGGATAAGAAAATGGTTGAAGTGTGAGTACTAGGGTTGTTGTGAACCATACAAGAGCAAAGTACATAATAGACAACTAATTAGGAAAGTTGTGCTTAAGATATGAATTGTGTTACGGCAGTATTCCAAAAGGTGGTATAAGATACGAACACAATGATGGCAAACAATATGTACTAATTAGGAAGAAATTATCAAACATGCAGATGAATACACATGTGAGATGTAGACCACTCTGTTAGATTTACTTCATAGATAGATTAGCCTTATTGAGGTTAGTAAGTCCTAAGGTGGATGCAAAATCAGATTAGACAATAGTGAACTACCTGTGTATAGTAAGCTACGCCTCAGGTTAGATAGTATTTATTGGCTTGGAAGTAGGTTATGATCAGAGGGTTTAAATGAGTACTCCCCTAGTTGGATACAGATATGGTAGATAATATAAAACTTTCGGGTGAACTACTTAAATTAGGCACTCAAAAGGTGCATATGTGGCTTGATGTACTCTTACTATAATTGAAAAACAAAACTATCTAATAAAATATTCCCTGGCCAAAGAGGTCACCTTAATACCAATATATATATATATATATTTATATTAACTTTGTTATAACTTTATATTAAAAATATATTAATTATATTTTTTAATTATAAATTAAATATATTTTAAATATATTTTTAATATATAGTTATAACCCCTGTAGATAACAATATACTTGGGCACCTGGAACACTACTAACGTAGTGTGCTTAAAATTATCTAAAGTAAAATATCACTATGGTGCAAAAAATTATTTAATTTAGTTATTTATTTAAAATAAAATATAATTATAAAATAATATAAATATAGTTACTCTTTATATACTTTTTTTAAAAAAAATGAAATTGAAAAAAATTTATTTTTATTTTTTTTCTATTTACTAATTCTTGTTTTTGTTGAAACAAAACAACTAAAAAGACCAAGCTGCTCCATATGTAAAAAAGTAGGATTTAATAAACGAATATACTCAGAACATAAAAGATATAAAAAAAAATGAACAGTTCATTGCAGTATTTGTAAAAAACCAAATATTAACAAATGTACACATTTATAATATTTATTCTTGAACTTTTCACCTTCTTTCTTTATAAGCATAACAGTATTATATAAATTTTGATTTTTTTTAATTTTAACTGCAGATTTAATTTTTTCAAACTGAGCTTTAAGATTATCATATGACTCACATTTAGGCTAAAACTCGGTTACTTTTTTTCATATAGCAAGTAAAGAACCTTGTAATTCATAACTTTTTTTAATAACTTCATTGATACTTTCTTGTAAAGACATCCATAAAACACAAATAATATTAGTTTTTTTTATTTAAAAATAAAAAAAAAACAAAACATATAATATATATCATAGTTAAAAATACAAAAAAAAACAAAAGCCGACAAAGAAAAAAATATTAAAAATAATATTGATAATCAAGATAATCATAGATAGTCGATAGTTGATAATAAAGAAAGAAAACTGATAACTTCTATAATTAAAGTGATTGAAGAGACGTGTTTCTAACAGCATGCATTATTCTAATCATATAATACAAAAAAATAAAGAAAAAAAAATAATACTAATTCTTAAAAGTTGTTTGTCTAAAAAAAACAAAAGCTATTCTAGCTAGACTTGTGCTATTTAATCACTTAGGTCCCAGTTATCCAAAGAGAAGATAAACAAAAATCCTTATATTTAATCAGTATACTAATCATTTAATATTAAATGTTTTTATAAAAATATAGAAACTTACTTCTTTTATGAAAATAAAATTGTTTTCATAAAAGATAAAAAAGATTTTTTCATAAAAAAAGATGATCTAGATTTAAATAAACAAAATCATATGATTAACTTGAATTATAAATATAGAATGATAATCATAAAATCAAACCAAATTCAAATATTAATCAAAAATTCCAAGTATATAATACTTATATAATGTAAGAATTTCAATTCGGCACAAAGAATAAAACAAATTTAGTAATATGGCTTTTCTTATCTAATATAGATTATAAATATAAATATTCTAAATTTTTAAAAAAAATGTTTAACAAACCAAACAGATAAGCCACTACTAAATAAAATAAAAAATAGCAAAAAATGCTTTAAACCAATTACCGTATATTACCGAATAGAAGCTACCCCCGAATAGAAGCTACCCCTCGATTTTGGATCCAAAAATCTGAAAACGGTTACTATGTTTTAATAGTAAAATTAGACCCGAATAGAAGCTACCCCTGCAGTTTAGCCTAAGAAAATCGAAGAAAATCGAAAATTTTTTGGTAGCTTCTATTCGGTAATATACGGTATATGAAAAAATTAAACCAGATTTAGATGATATTAGCAAATTTTATAAATCATGAAAATAAAAAATTTAAAGCTAGAATTGATAAATATTAATAATTTAACAGAAATCAAAGATATACTTATTAGGCTAAACAATATTATTAAGTTGAAAATCAAATAAAATGTTTATCAATTTATTTATAATAAACAATAATAAAATTTTTCACACGAAAAAAACTTATAAACTGCTAAAATTTACTTTATGCTTATTTAAATTTGTTTACAAACTTTGTTAATTAAACCAAACTTTAAAAATTACAAAATGTCTTTTTTAAAAAAATTCTTTAACAAAAATAAAAAACAAACTAAAATTACTAGAGAAATTAAAATTGATTTCAATTCTAGTAATATTTTAATTAAAAATAATAAAGAAGAGTAGACTAAAGTTGTTCAAGAACAACTAAACTTTGAAAACTGGAATGAACATAAACATGAACTAGCCTCTTCTGAATGAACTAAAGATCAACCCACTTGCTCAACAAACAATAAAGAAGTAGAAACCTCCTTATTATCTGTTGAGCAAGAGAGCCAATCTAATAACTCTAATAGAAAAATTCAATTAGTAAAATTGAAATTAAAATTTTTTTATTTTTTATTTTATTTTTTTTTATTATTTTAATACCTTATTGATATATTCATTTATTTTTTGGTGGAATATTTTTATTTCACTTGAAAGAGATTATTTTACGGTGGGAGTTAAGCAAAGATGATTTTAACTATAAGTTAAACCCTTTTGAAATATTATTTACACAAGCACAAATTAATTTATACTTTAGTGATGGTTATTATATTTATGATACTATTAATGAATTGATTTCTGGTAAGATAATACCAAAAAACTTATCAACAATTAGAGTTTGCATTTTTGAAGATGGACAATTTCACTCTTGTGACAACAGAAGATTGTATTGTTTTCAACAAGCAATACTACAAGGTGCAAACTTTAAAAAAGTACCTGTAAGAATAATAAGAAAAACAAATAAAAGTTTATTTCTCAAAGAAAAAATAGAAGGGGCTTTAAAATTAGTTGAAAATAGAAATTGGAGTAAAAAATAAACCCAATCGAATATGTTGTAAGAATAGTGAAGTTTATGAACATAATTTTGATTTTAATTAATTTATATTTATTTATTTATATTATTACTTTAAAATTTGTAATTGTAAATTTAATTAATATAAATATATATTTAACTCTATATATTTATTTATTAAAAATATATATTTAGCTCTATATATTTATTTATTCACTTATACTATTCCAATAAATATAAAATACAAGTTTTATATTATTTATTTTACTTGATTAAAAAATGTAATACCAATTTGCTCATTATTATTTTTATTTTATTTTTAATATTGTAAATACATTTTCTTTTTTATGATAATATAATTCAATTTTGTAAAATTAAAGATTGTAAAAAAAAACTATTTTATTTTAATGTTTGATTTTACTAAATTAGATATTAAAGATACTTTTTGTAGATATATCTTTTGCTCTAAGTGTTTATTTAAACTTAGTTTTGCTTATTTGAAGAATACTTTTTTTAACTTTGCTTTAAAAATATTTATTATTAAATCAAAATTTAAAAATAATGATTTTACTGCGAGATATTATGAAAAATATATTATTATAATTATTTTATAATTTTTAAATTAAATTATTATTATATATTTTTATTTAATAAAATAAATTAACATATTCAGTAATTTATATGATTTTGTTCATAATATATAAAATTATTACATTTATTTTCATTAAGAAAGATGTTATATTCGTCTGTTAGTAAACTAATATAATATTTAATATCATTATTATTATAATTATTTTCTTTTTTTTCCTCTACTTTTGATTCATTATTATTATCTTCCTCTTTATTTCTTATTTCTTCTTCGTCTTTGATAGAGAAATCTTCATTCTTATCAAGAAATAAGTTCCATGCGTGACCAAAATAATCTGATACTTTAGAGAACAGTTTTTTATATTCTCTTTTCTCTTTTTTAAGTTTCTCAATTACTTTAAAAGCTTCTTTTTTAATTTCTTTTATATCAGAAAGAGTTTTTTTATAAAGTTTTTTATAATCATTATTGGTCATTTTTTCTTTCTTTAATTTTTTATTTTTACAATAGGGATATTGTTCTTTGCCATTTTGTTTAATAAAGAAATATTTTTCTTAAGGTATTTTGAAAATTTTCAATTATTATTTTCAATGTATTTAAAATAAATTGAAATAAATTGTTAAAATTTTATTGGTAATTTGATTTCCATTTTTAGTTTTTGAATTAGTCATTAGAATAAACTTTATTTGGTAAATGTTAATGAGTATATTACAAAGTCTCTAATGATCTTGTTAATCTTTTTTAAGAATTTTTTAGTTACTTTATCAGGAGTGAGAGTTTTTTCTTTGCTTTTTTGAGAGGAGATTTATTTGGTTTAGCATTTTTTTTAGTATGTGATTTTTTTTGTATATGATACTGTATATTAGCAAATAAGTATAAATCTTATTGATCTTGCAAAATTGTTCATATGCATAATTTGTGTTTGTTTTGTTTTTTATCTGGATGCTATTTTAATGCGAGTTTTTTATACGTGTCTTTAATAGCCTCAATTGTTGACGTGTTTTTAACATTAAGTAATTTATAAAAATCATGTATTTTGTTTTGGGGCATTTTACGATTATATAAGGTATAAACAAATTCTCTTCTCTTCTTCTAATAACAATAAATAAAAATGGAACGAGACCAGAGATTTTTTCACATTATGTCGACTATTTATTATTGTATCCCTTGTTTAAATAAGTTTTGATGCAAACGCAATTTTACCGAAAAAGAAAACGCCAACGTGAAGAGGAGTTTTCTGTTACAGGAGAAGTTCTACTTTGTGTTCTTTGTAGCCAACATCATTAGCACTGCAAAGAAAATATATGTACAAATTGCTGTAAATTACGGAAATGTAATGATATTGTGTGCAGTTATTGTCAAGTACACAATATTGAATGTAAACATGTAAGGAGAGCACCATTTATCACCTGATTTTTTAGGGTAGGAGGGGGGGTCTAAAAATTATCAGGTCCTAATAGTAAATAACTTTTGATTGGCTAAAATTTTTTAAAATTTTAAAAAATTTTTAAACTTTAATATTAAATAAAATTTAAACCAATAATCCGTTTTAAATGATTTTACTATCAAAATATTCATCTCAATGAGATGATTCCAACAAGCCTAAAATTATCAAAATCCAATCACTGGATCCCAAGATCGTTATAAATTTGTATTGCTTTAATTATTTTAATTTTGTATATATTAAAAATTATTATTAAAGATATTATAAACTTTAACATTGAATAACTTGTGAATCAGTGATCTGTTTTAGATGATTTTACTACCAAAATACTCGTCTCAGTGAAACGATTCAAATGAACTTAAAATCGTTAAATTCTGATTACGGGATCCCAAGATCATTATAGATTTGTGTTATTTTTAATTGAATTAATATATTTTATATTAATATAACACAAATCTATAACGATCTTGGGATTCCGTAATCAGAATTTAACGATTTTAAGTTCATTAGAATCGTCTCACTGAGACGAGCATTTTGGTAGTAAAATCATCTAAAACGGATCACTGGTTCACAAGTTATTCAATGTTAAAGTTTATAAGATCTTTAATAATAATTTTT